TTTTTTACAACTATATTAAATAGATAAAGGTGTAAAGGTGTGCAGCGCCGCTGCTGAATGTATATAGGGGAAATACTGACATTGTTTAAAACACTTAAACATAGGAGAACTAGGATGATAATGTTTGCACACTGTCAGTTGTGAATTTGCATAAGCTCTTGCATCCTTCCCTGGTAAAACGTGTATGACCTACCTACTGCTGTTTTGCATACACATGGTTTTATAGTAACAACAGATGATGTGATGCATTCACTTTAATTTGAACTTATAATAACTAGGTTAAACTGGGGGTTTGTTTGAATCTGACTGGTTGTGTCACCACATGTGTTGCTTGCCATAATGGACTCCATGTCACTGCTGCCACCAAGATATCCTAATGAAACTGAATGTTAACACAGCTCATACGGATATTATAAAATCAATATCAAAACAGTCACAGTTTCCTTTAAATGTGACCTCATTTTGCAAATGCTGTGGTATCCGAACAGGTGTTTATCGTTGAATATTTGTGTAGTCTCATGCCATTTTTATTGTTAGAGATCTAAATATCATATAAATAAGCTATGTATTAACCATGTACTGCATACAAATAGTTTATATGGTTATGTGCTTGAATTTAGTTGTTCCTTAATTTATATGGATACACTTACAAACAACCTGCTGTGAAAATGTGCTTACCATGTACAGAAGAAAGGGAAAGGCCAGGAGAAATATCCAAAGGTAGAGGTGGAAGCAGTTGGAGAACGTGCTCTGATGCGGGTCCACATACCAGCCTCCAGTGAGGGAAGCCCACACACCCTGCCGCAATATCTGAAGCGCTTGGGAACCCATCTTCACCTTTGAGTTTAACCAGAAGCTAAAATGCTTCCTCCGAGGCCGTGGTTAAAAAAAACTGTCCAACAGTTCGAGCCACAGTATCCTGTGTCTACGATGGCACTTCCATTGGGAATGGCAGGTTAACAGAGACTGTTTCATCAAGGACAACAGTTCTGTGTCTTGGATATGTACACTTCAGTTGAGGTCAAGAGTCCTTGCATATTCTTGAGCCAGTATGTCTTCTCTCCCTGCACCAACGCTGCCACCCTCTAGCCTTGCTGGGTAATCGGGTGAGGGACTTTTTGGCACATTGGTAACCCACTGAATGTATGAAAAAACATTCATCTGTAAGAAAGATCAAAACATTTTAAACATTGCATTCAGTGGACGCAAATTATTGCTCAGAAAAGTACACTGCAAGTCACAAAAAAGGTTTAGATGTATTAAAAAAAAATTAAACTGTCCACATGCACATATCAAATCTTGAGATAAACACTTTAAAGAGTGTTTCTAGTTGTTTTGTTTACTTTGAGTAAGCTACTTCCTTAAATTCGAAATGATAATAACGAAACATTGTAGTTTTCCTTTGATTTTCAACTGATCTTTAATTAGTCAGAAACTATCACCATATCAATGGGACTATATTTGAGTTTTATATACAACGTTATATATTTGTTCATGTATAACTTCTACCATGGATCAACCACTAATAATAATTTGAGCTGCTACTACAATAGAGTTGTAGAATGTTTAAGTATTAAAAACACAGATTAGAATGCCTTTAACTGACACTGGCACACGCTAACGTTACAATCAATCATTAAAAACTTGTTTGTCAATTCAATGTCTTCTGTCCAAAACAAATCATCAGGGAAGCTATATAAAATAGTCGATATATCTATCAGATTTCAAAGAGGATGACAGAGCTTAAAACTCCCTTTTCTCATCTCCAGGCTAATGGTGTGCCAGCTAGATTAAGTTTTCTGATTGACATTAGCAAGCTAGCAGGCAATTTAGCCTAGCCCACGAATATCTCTGTGCATTTATTCTCCGTAAAATGCTAACTGTTCAACCAACAATGCCTTCAACCACCTCGGTGAATATAAAAACTCGATTGGTAGCAGCAGCATAATACTGCAGACTGACTGACAAACATTACACATTTTTGGACTGCTTGACGCGAGTTACCGGCTAATGCTAGGCCGCATACATCAGCATTTCATCCTGGGTAATGTCCCTATCGTTAGCAGGGGAAATGTAACGCCAACCGTAAACAACAAGTTAGCTTAACCGCTGGTCGCTAGGCGAGTGTTAGTTCCTCGTCGTTAGCTAATGTTAGCTTGATAGGTTTGATAATTGTGCTTAAATTAAAATGTTTTCCACATTTGGCTCAAACCTTACAATTAGCATTAGTTGTCCAGCTTGGCTCATATCCTCCTTCCGCATCCAGTCCTTGCAAAATCTCAGAGCTTTCCTTCTCAGGATGCTAGCGAGCCTGTCCAAAAACTGTAGCTTACTTTTTGCTTGCGTTGGCTAACTTGTCATTTTTTCCTGAGGGCCCCCCATCCTCTTTGGTATTAAAGGTTGACAGACATGCAGCGGGAGCGGAGGTCCTCTCTCATGACGGACGACAGCTGTTTCTTGGTGTAAACGGAGCCTATGTTAAAATGTTTCAACAAGCTAGCTAACTGTATAGCTAGCGTTAGCTAACAACTAGTTGACACACACGCACGGACCTACGCATGCACGCACGTACGCACAAAGAGCGATCAAGAGAGGGAGAGAGAGATTCCCATGGCGCTGATTGGCCGTATACAGTGACGTCATGGGAAGGGTTTTTAAGAGAGACATTGACGTGAATTGTAGTTTATGCCATGAGTGTATTTTATTGATGTTTAAAAAGTTGTATATTTATTTTGGCGTTGCCCAAGTGCTGTTATTACCGAGACCATTAATGAGATATATTGTTTAAAGCACTTCATTCATACAGAGATGTATGGACAATTAGTAGGCCTACATGAACCGAGATTGTGGTTGTTGGAGCTTGAAAATGCTGTCCTTGGTTTACCAGACAATAAAGGGTCAAGGGTCAGGATTAGAGGGGAAGGGATAAACACACGTTATAAAGTACCTGTTTGTTTCACGATTCAGGCAAGTCATTGCTAAATTAAAACAATATTTGTATCCTCTACTTCACCAACAATATTAATACAATAACAAAAGAAGTCTCACTAGATCATAAGTATTGATGCAACAACTTGCTAATTTGCTAACCTTAAATGATGCATCTTAATATTGCTGTTTAGCTTAATCTACTATAGATTATAGTAAAATATGTTGTATTATTCTTAAATAGTAACTAAAGTTTTTAAATAAATGTAGTGGAAAAATAAAACATTCTTATCTAATCACTTATTGTTGTATGAGGATACGATGACTGAATTACATACTTGAGTACTTAAATCTGACATACATTTGATAATGTATTTGGACAACCTTTAACCTATTATTCTCCACAAAAAGTAGTATATACACTTTGTATATATATACTCTCAGAAATAAGGAACTAAATAAACAACTGTAGGATAAATACTTACAGTCTGAAGAAAATCTTGCTTGTATGTTGAGGGAACAAAGGTAGGTAGGAGCGGATGTGACATACGGGTTGTCATCTGGGCTTCTCTTGTCATAGCTGTTTTGTTGAATTAGCCTTGTGACATTTTGGCAATGCTCAATAGTGGCTTCTCGTATCCTCAAACTACCCCTTCTTCATGGCCAATGTCAGCACATATCAGACGTCACATAGACCAGACCTGCACCGACAATAAGCCCACAGGATTGTTCCCCATCTGTCTCGACACAAACGGCTAATGGGACAGGTGACCTAGCCTGCTTGAAATACAATCTGTCTAAATTCTTGTCTTTTGTGATAAACCTCATCTGCTCTCACAGGATAAATGATGGCTGCTTTAGTGGGGGGCAACTACAGTCTATACATCACTCTGGTGTTCAGTGATGTGGAGATAACCTTCCCTCCATTTTACAGTTCCTTGTATTCTCAGCAGGGGGTAGTCAAACAACACAAACCACGCTACTGCTGACAAGCATACAGATTAGTGTTTTCATCCGAGAGATGGTGGAACATGATCTTCTTAAATTGAAATATGCAGGTCAGGTGACACATTTATCCACAACAAATTGCTAATTAAATTAACCATCAATACATTGGACAATCAGAAGTTGTGCATATTGTCAAAGTAAATAATAATACCTATGCTGACCTATTTGAGACACTTGTTGAAGCTTCAAAATATGGTCAACAACCTTTGGTATAGTACAGTATGTTACTGATATTGCTGATGTTAAATAAAGTAGACTTACTTAATATCGTAATATTATAACAGAGGCTGTTAAATCATACATTTATATTCTCCTAATATTATAGTAGCTCCTTTACTTCTTATGCAATGTGATAGCACCTTTTAGACACTCTCTGCTTACTAGATGAACACTCACATTGAACATTGAAGTTACTCAAGGGATGTCACTTTCAGCAAAGGCCATACAGTATAGTCCTGAATCATATAAGTGGCCCTAACCATGGTTCAAAAGACTTTATATATTTTTTCATTTGTCCTAATCTGCTTCGTTGAAATACATTTTTTAAGTAAAGAGTGGACCTTAACGACAGAAGGAAGTGTAGCGTGTGAGTAAACCCTTAAACATTTCATTCTATATTAAATAATGGTCATCTAGGCGTCACTAACACACCAGAACTACGCAGTGCCTGAGTGAGGAAGAGAGGAGAGAGAGGAGATGATGATGAAACTCCAGTGTAAGACACGATTTTAAAACACATCATGACCTGCAATTTGTGTGAAATGCTGTTTCTTCATGTTAAACTATCTTGTTAGCAAAGTATGACCATTTTAAAATTACATCACTGTTAATTCTTTGTGTTTCTTTTATCCCAAAAGATTCACAACTCACAATGATTATCCCTAGTAGATAGATTAGTATATTATATTTAAAAAAAGAAGCCTTATACCCCGATATAAAGGCTTTTATAATCTAAATTCCCCTGACCTTCAAAACTCTGTCATTTACACCTGTGTTTAAAAAATGTAAGACAAATAAGAGTACATTTTCTTTGTGAATCTACAAGAAGCAACACACAACACAGGTGTGTACAAAGTATATAATCAAGTGTATTTTCATCTTTATCCACGTTCTGTACACATATTAAGATCCATTTCACATGAACACTATACAATAGCAATGAGTGAGGAATGGAATATTTTCTGAGTGCTGAGCAGCTCATGTTGAATGGCACTTTCATAAAAAATAACAGGAAATCACAGAGCATGAATAAGTAAATGTAGACATAACTCAACAGAGAAAATGGCTTTATATTTTCAGATCCATTGAGTAACAGATTCAGCACATATAAAATGCACAATGCAACAAAACAAAACATTCGTTTGTTCCATCCTTGTGTTTTCTCTGCATAATCTGAACCGTCAATAATGCAAAAACAGAAGATATTTGCAGCTTTCAGAGGAAAGTGTGCTTCTTGTCTGGATTTAAGTAAAAGGCAATCTAAAATGGTATGTGTTAAGAGGAGTGGTAACAAGATACATCGAAATATCAATACAATTCACAAACCTTCAATTATTCATCTCATAGAATAGTCTCTTAGTAACTGATAGAAAAAACAATACATGTTTGGCTGCTTTACAAGGAGTATGTATGTCTCAAATATATGTTTACATTTTCCGTGTGCTTTTTGAATGATCCCGTGACAGTTTTGAGAAAGATAGAGATCAAGCGTGAGCCAGCCTCTGGTGAGACGAGATGCTTCTCCCTTTCCAAGAAGAAATGCTTCCTCAAATGTGTTTCTGTTTTCCTACAGATCCTGTGAAGTTCGGGCGGCAGCGGTTCTGATGTGATAGAGTGTGAGGGGGGGGCAGAGCATCTCAGACGTTTATTCTTCTTCATACCTGTTCCCCAGCGGACACAATGCTTTTTCAATTGGCTAACCTCTATATGTACATACAAGCAATGTTTACAGAGAAATACCTTCACTGGTGTAGACTGACTTTATCACATTTATCCTGACTGAGATCTCACATAAATAACATTTCTGATCCATCATACTATAAGGTTCACTGGCCGGAGAACGTAGAGTGTTTCATAATTCCTCTTTTTGAATGCCGTCTTTTTCTCCAGGAGAGCTAAATATGCTTCATTTATGATACTGCACCAGCAACATAATACCAACTCTCATGGACAGAGGCAGAGTGACCTGGGAATTTTAAAACCACCTAACATAACAATGAGACTGCAGAGATGATGTCTTATCCAAATAAAAGTGCTTTCATTTCGAGTGTAGTCAGAATAACGTGGGGGCTTTCTGCTCATCTACCGTAAAAATTCAATAACTGCCCTGTTCTGCTTCACATATCACGATGGGGACATTGAGACTTGAGATAGAGCGTTACAAAGAGGTACAAAGAAGACATTTAGACAAATCTGTCCAGATGTTCTCGCACTTTCTCCACTGTACCATGCTATATACAAAGCCAAAATGGGTATGCCTCTTCATATCCTGTTGAAAACATCTTTAGAAAAAAATAATACACTAACAAAGAACAGGTGAACGCAGACCGGGTGCACATTATGACCCGGATAATTATTCAGATCTTGTGCTGTAGAGGAGGATTTTTATAATTGACAGTAGTTGGGCAAACCTTGACTTTTGAGAAAAATGAAAAAAGCAAGCCTCGCTTTGTGCAGTTGTTTTTTGTGGCCTGTGAACATTTCTCTCATGACAAAACCGGGGAGCGAAACGAAAGCATCATCTCTCTCTCATCCTCTTGTCTCAGTCCACACTTCTCTCCTACTCCGCTCTCAGACGTAATATTCTTTGTCTTTGTTCTTTTTGCCCTTTGTGTTTGCCTTGGCCACAGAGGCCGTTGCTGTGCTTTTGTCTTTGATCACTGCTCCGTTGTCCTCCACAGTGGAATTGTTGGCAAAATTGTGGCCCTGGTCTGACTGGTAGGAGCCCTCGTCCCGGTTGCGGTACTTGTACATGGCATAGAGGAGTATAAGGATGCAGAGAGCAGCAGCAGCCACGATACCAACCACCATCCCCGTGGTGCTGCTGGACTCCCTGATCACCTCCACGGCACCCGGCTGGCTGTTTTCATCAGAGACTGCGGGGTTGGCTGTGGGCACATGGGGGAAATTGGGGGGGTAAGTTAGTCCTGGTGTGTTTCGGGAGGAAGGAGGAGCAGGAGGCAGAAGCACCTGGTCACGGGTGTTCATTTTGCCTGCGGGGATGTGGAGCTTGTCAGGGTTGGTGGTGGGAACATAAGGAGGTAGGGGGTGGGGTTTCTGGACTCTACCCTCACCATCGGTGGGAGGTGGAGGAAGAACTGTCCTGTCAGTGACCATGGGGGAGTTATTTTTGTAAAAGTCCTCGTCATCCGATTCTGTCATCTCCCCAGAGCCGAAAGCCGACACCTCCACAGGGTCACCACAGTCTTCCTGGTCCGGGGGGCAGGAAGGGTGAGGGGGGAGTATCAGGGACTCTTTGGTGGTGTCAAGTGGGGAGAGGAGGGTAGGGGGAGGAGGGATGACGGGGTAACGGGTGGCGATAGATGGGGGCTCAAGGGAATCCACTGTTATAATAGGCAACACTAATTCACCTCCTAAAAAGGAAACAGAAAAGGTAGGGGATCCTAAATTAGAGCGGCATTACAATTTGAATTCAGGCAGTAAACTTGTGCTCATTAAAATAGAGGCACAATCTGCTCATTACGTATAATTTGACTGAGGAATTAAACTAATATTAGCTGGCTTATCAGTGTTAGTATGCATAATCATAACACATATTATGCTTCCTCTATAATCAAGAGTATTGACAAACATTCGGCACAAGAAGAGACTAATTAATTAAAACCACCTTTCTTAACAACCTACATTTCTCATGTGGAGTGTGTGCGCACATAGTGTGTGTAACATTATTCAAATATAGTACAAGAACATTAGAGAGCTCACATGTAGACACAAACATACAAGATGATCCCTGAAAGGCGGCAGCTAAATGGAGAGCATGGTAAGAAGCAAAAGCAGAGTAAATGAAAAGGACATGCTGCTGTATAAACATCTGAAGGCGTGCTTAGGGGGTAAAAGGAGAAACACAGGCAAGTTATTTTATGTATGAATCACACATGGAATATTCTGGCCTATTGAAAGCAATGTGTGTGTTCTGTATATTTGTATTCCTCATCAAACAACGCCCTCACATATGTAGCTGTATATTTATATAGATATTCTTCTGTTTATGACTTCTTTTGCATTGAGCTTTGACTCTCAGGTCAGAATGTCTTCTGGTTGTGGAGGAATATTTTAGTATGTTGTTTTTTATGGCCACTCATTTCTCTTTCATCATTATTTGAGTCACACTTTACAGGGCCAGTCAACAACAAACAGTTCTGATAAGGTCATATTAATAATTGAGGCAGCCATAATAAGGGCAGACTCCTGTCTCAGCTCCACAGCTCATTTCTGTCACACAGCCTGATCTACTGTCCACTGTGTTCCCCACTTAATGACTGCGCTACTCTTCCATCCAATTAGGTGAGTTACTGACATGATTTAAAAGCTAATGCACCGCATGAATTGATACCAGTGGAGACTGTAAGAACAAAGCTTCTGTATAAATGAAAGCTGCACAAACATGAACTGAAAATGGAGAATGGAAAATTAATAATGGCTGCCTGAATTCAATGGGTTTTGTCTTGGTGTGTGAGAGCTGGACTCCCATGGTTTCTTTTCTCTGTGGCTGACCCACCTGTTCCTGGTTCACACTCTTCCAGGTCTTCATCATCACTTGGACACTCGGCTGATGCCACCAAAATGTCATCAGAGTTCTGCGGCTGAAAGGCAAAGATAGAAAAAGTGTTGTTTTTTTACAAATATAGAGTCATCACATTCCCATCATCTAGATTTGTGCTCAGCTTGTAGTCTCGCTGGCTGACTGCCCTATTTGAGGGGAAAACTGCAGCATACAGCACTGTGCCACTTTCATGTTTTTTTTAGCTTGGAGCAACGCTACTTAGACTACAAACTCAAAATGTGCCCATATGCAGCTGCTTTTTATCCTCCACCCCTGTGGCTGAATTCATGTGTTTACACAGAGTACTGCTGATGGAGAAGGATTTCTCAGTAAGCAGATGTTTTCATTAGATTCTATATAATTTTCTTTTTTATTAACATTAAAAAAAACAAATTCTAATAAGCTACTGTAAATCAGTGAACATGTCTAAATTGGATTTTAGGTCGCACAGTGGACTCAGAATACCTGAGCAGAGCGGGGAATAGATGGTTTACAATTGGATTATTCAAATAAATTGAAAATACAGAGAAGATAATTTAAGGGAGCCCGGACAAAAGAATTATAATGAAAAATGCGCTCTGTATTTTTAATAGAAGAGACAGGGGATTTTTTTAATGAAATCTCAGGACTTCAAGTACAAGCGCTAAAATCCTTCCAATTTGGCAGGTTTGCAGCATTTTGGATTAAAATCAATTCGTTTTAAATGTTGGTTGGTAATGTTCACCAGTCTGGATGCAGTATTGTGACTGATCCATGCCTACAATTCTTAAGGGTTCAATACAAATATATTGAAGGATGCATTTTATTATTATCCTAGCACACTTGGAAATAAAGTGAAATACGTGATGCATTTACAATCAGTGGGACCAAACCTGTTGTAAGAATGCATGCAGTTAGCTAAAGGATTTAAGTAGCCTATCATTTTAATAATTATGGCATTCTACAAATGTGTCAGACATCCGAAAACAAGGGACATTTGATTTGAATGATTTCAGGGTCAGAATCCTTTTAGCCTCCGGTGATTAACATATCATTCAATTTTGGTTCCAAATGAATCCTTATTGTGTGATTTTGAGAGAAAAATTACAATTGACTGATAAATAAAAAGGTGAATATTGGTTGACCCCAGTATGAATGCTCTAAAATATGAATAAGGTCGTTGTAAATAGTTTTGGAAATGTTATAATATCAAATACGGTTTGTTTGAATTAAATAAATTAGATGGCACTTTTTCACTACCATCTTACGTTGTTCACATGCACATTCATTATGAGCTATGTTTGGGTCAGAGACATTTTAAATACTATGGAAAAACAGAACAATGTAAATTATTCTTAAAAATATTCGCAACAATATTAAAAAAAAGGAAATAAAGCCCAATCTCTACAAACCACTTAAAAAAAGAAGATGTATGTACTTTGATTGATGTTCTGTTACTGAGCCATTTTAATATCCCATATGTTTTATTTCCCTAAAGTTACTAACCCACAACTTTTATACTCTATCTGACCTTTGAGATGCTCTCGCTCAAGCTGGGCGACCTCTGTCTGCGGGTGGTGGTCGTAGCCATGGTGGTTGTGGTCTCCATGATTGTGGTGGACATATCGGACACTGCCAGCGGGGTGGCGGAGGTGATGTCGGTGGTCAAAACAGAGAACGAGTCCCCGACCAGACGCAGGTTCCCCTCCGCCTGAACACTGGGGTCGTTCTCTGCTGCCAGCTTGAGCACCTGGAGACCGTTGTAGTAGAGCCCTGAAATCTGACCCTGGAAGGGCCGATCCTTGTCGTGACCGCCAATTTTAATGGCTGCCTGGCTGTTAAAGATGGTCAACTGTCTCCCTGAAGTTACACAGACATAGAGAGAGCAAGAGGTGGAAAAAAAAGGGAAGAGAATAGTGGAGCAGACATACAGAAGTCACACGGGAGAGCTTGCATAGGAACATCATTTGAACCAGGTGGGCTTTTGTGATTATAACATCATACTTAGTCATCTATTTAAAACGTAATTAGACGCTAACTTTAAAGGGGGAAGGTTAGGTATTAGCAAGGTTATTATTTAGACTTTACACATGCAGGTTACAATCAGAGGAGGGTTATATGTTTAGGCTCTTATTTAAGTGTTTTGATTGGACCGAGACATGTTGAATTATCACGATGTAAGCAGACGGTCTGTGGGTGTGCTAAGAAATGTATGTTATATATTGCTGAATCATTGTAAATTCATCTGTTGGATAACTCCAAAATGCCAACGACATCCAAAAGATTGGTAAACACCTGGGATATGCTTTTTGGGAACCGATTCTGGCTGGTTTTGTTGGATTTAAGAGAGATAACCAATAAGGCGCCCCTCTGTACAACCTTTTTCTAATGGCAGCTTGGGTATAAGCAGCTTGTGGTGAGAGGGTTTAACAAGCTCACTCTGTGTACTCTATTTCCAGGTTTCAGTACTAATAAATACATTTATCTAAGACAACAGAATGTTTTTTCATTCATCACTAGAGGAGAAAGAGCAGATGTTTTTTCGAGGATATTTATTTATCACTCAGCTCCAGAACAGATGGTGCTAGGATGCAAGTCTTATGGCTTCTTTCTGAAGAGATGGGCACATTATTAACATGGTAGTGTTGCTATACTTTAGACTGTAAAGCTTAATGACAATAAAAGACATCCTTCCCTTACACTGACTTCATCAGCCATTAGGCCATTGATGCATGCTGTGCTCTGGGCGCCATGATTGTTTCACCTCCTGAAAGTGGCCAATGATATCTAATCTAACAGCAGGACTGTCGGCAGCCTCACTGATAAGCAGTGTTACATCAGAGGAGGAGGAGGGCTCCAGTAATGGGCCCCTCTCTGGAGAATACTTATTAGCAAAGTTATTGGCTACAAACAGTGATCTACTTTAACAGCCTGTCAGGGCCTGTTTTGTCGCACCAACAAAGAAAACATCAGCTTGGGAGTCTGATGTGGTTTGTGGTAGTACAAGATAAGGTAATACAAGGTTGCAGGGAACACGAAAGGGAAAATAAACTAATTTGGTGAGATAACATCCAGGAGTTTTTTTTTTTAAATGTTCAGTTTAGGAGGAACGAGACTATGGTGTCACATGTTAGTTTCAATGGTGTTCATTGGAGTCTTTCACCCACAAAATGATAATTTGTTTTTCAATTATTCATCCCGTGTAGCCTTGAATTTGTGAAAAAACGTGGTTTTTCTTGGATGCCTCCAGGGTGACAAAAAGGTCTGAATGCATTGAAGGGAAATGGAGGACCCGTTTACAAACTCTCACACATCGCAATAAAATCGAATTCTCATTTATCCAGGCATGCAAGAAAAGACATGTTCTTTCAAAATGTTAAGGTAACACGGGGTAAGTTATTGATATACAAATAGTCATTTAGTGCGTAAGGTTTTAGTTCCATGTAAATGTTACACAGCATATTAATGATATTTTATGTATAGCAATTACACACAGTATCTAATTACACATTAAGAGGGACGATAGAGGGTTAGACAAGGGTTATGTTTTTTTAGGTATTCGGTTTAAATCTTTGTTAAGGTGCAGCTTATCCACAAGGTTAAGGATGACAAAGATTAAATGGCAAGTACGCCATTCCCCTTCACTATGACATTAATTTTGAAGTCCACTTAAAGCTATATTGTGGTAATCATAATCAACAGGCAATAGAGAGTCAAATTAAAATGGATGTTTACATCTGGGTCACTTGTCACCCTTGTCTTCTGGCACTGCACCTCTCATGGGGAAGAGTTATTTAGTATTTATTTCAGGGATTAATTATTCATCAGTTTATTTTTTACCTTTATCGAGTAGCCACTCGTCAACTACCCGACCAAGTCTGTATGGGATTCTTTGTCTAGCAATAGCCAGTCGTTCATTATCATAGTGTCCTTCAAAGAATTTGGAGAGACAGATTAAAGGTTAAAGTCTGCAAGCTGAAAGATCACATGGTTAGAAACAGAGTTATAATGGCTAACAGGTTTAACAAGTTATCAATTTTAACCCAGCTGTGAGTTAAAAGAAACTTGTGCTTTACTTAGTGTTATCTAGTTATTACGAGTAGCAGAGGTTGTATTAATTAGAGTTTAGGCTATTTATAATGTGCTGCCCTAGTTAGAGTTATTTAGTTATTTTTTAAGCAATGCATGATTCCAATTGCAGTCAAATTTAAAATTATTTTAGGTACTGTATCAAAAAGAAGAAGTTATTTCAGGTAAGAAAGCATTAAGAAAAGCAGCCACTTCAACAAATACATGAAAACAGTTTAGCATTTAGACAGTGATACACATTCTGTAGTTGCAGCCAAAAATACATTCACAATTGACTACAGTCATTACAGAGGGCTGAAGTCTCACCCCACTCCTATTCCACAATGTACTTTCATGATATACTGCGTTAAATACAATGGGAGCAGTAGTTGTTTAATTCTGAACAAGATTTTCAGACTAAATAAACAAGTGGATAAACAGTAAGCTCCATCACCAAAACCTATTTCTATTGATTTATTAAACGCCAAACTACATTGTGGAATCAGGGCTAATAGGACTTCCCCTCTCTATATACCACATGCATACACAGAAGAGTAATTAATCGCAAACAAACGTTGACAGGAAATATACTGTTTGATTCAAAGTATAAGAATTGCCCAGTGTATACTAGTTCCATAAATACATTTCATTCAGTCTTGTGTTGATTTAGAAGAAGTCCTGTCAATCATCAGCCACACTGTTATGACTTTACTGTTGTTGACACTATTTATAAACTACCACATGTGTAGGGTACCAAATCCATGTGGAGCAGGTTTTCGAAAACCATGTTTAATTCACATGTTCTGTATGAATATGTAAATAAACTGATACAAACGAACAAAGAGCAGTTTGAAGTCAGCCATGTTGTTGGACAATAAATGAATAAAAAGGATTAGGATTACAGTTGAAAACGGAAAGGGAGGCACAGTAAATAAACAGTGCATGAAAATTGAATTGAAGCTTACCTAGGCTATTTTTTTTGTCTCACCTTAGACTAAATAAAAAAGCAGGTTTTAAAATATGTGAACCATTCACAGAGCATTTCGAGAAATGCAAGCAGAGTTTTTGCATTTTTGCCTCAAACAAAGGTCGTTGCTTGGTTTCCGTGTGAAGGCAACAATAGTTATAAATCCTTATACACTTAAAGAAACATTACGTAAGAAAAACACAGCTTCAGAGCAGTTCCTGTGACAATTACAAAGTCTTTTTTGTGCAGGCCTAGCATCCACAAAGGCCTCACAAGCATTTTGGAAACTTGCCCAAGAGGTTATATGTACACTTCACAAAATTACTACTATTACTCTATTTTATACCCATTGCACCATTTCTGGATTCAGATGCCATGTGCGTGTGTGCTTTAAGCACCAGCTGGAGGCAGAAGGGACTCGGTTTCCTCCCGCTCCGCCAGCTGGAGCACCTGTTCTAAACAAGGTTAATTGGTTGATTGGTTCAGAGCAGGTTAAAGCACAGCCGGTCGTGATCACATTATGAACGTTGGGTTTTTTGGTCTATGCGTATATGTTTGGTATGAGTGTATACAAATGGATGAGCTTTGAACTTTTTGTACGGGGAAAAAAATCTGTGTGAAAGGTGCATCCTATCTTCTTTGTTTGTCTTTGTGCCCGGGCAGATATAATCCACATTGACTATGCAATGCCATGAAGGTATTTGCATTTTCCAAAAACACTAAACCAGAATAAAATGTGTATATAATATAATTTTGGAGTATGGATATGGAGTAGGTCATTTGTCTTAGGACATTATGACACTTTTATCCTCAGGCAGAGTTACTTTAATTATGTACATATTTATGTATAGCATAGTATTTTATGTTATAGCATCTGATTAAAATATAAAACACATATCCATAATTTTAGAGCTGAGCCTTTTATCTGGCAGAAGACAGTGTGAATTCAGCCAAATCCATCAATATGTTTATGCAAAACAGATGTTATGGTAAGGTCACCTTGTTGGTGTTTACACAAGTGGCCAGATGAATATGGATTTAAGCATGTTCTCAAGAGAATTGTAAATGTCAACAATTTATCAGCTGAACCGACAGCATCCACCCGGGTTAGTTAACACTGCTTCTATAGACCTGGAACAGGCTAATAGATCAACCAAAAAAGATACATATTAATTTAGATTTACATAGTAATTGAACTGAAAATTGTTTTTGTGCTACCCATGGATATATTTTATGTACTCACAGACATACTGCTTCACTTACTTTTCTGATCTGCTACATTTTTTCCCAAGTGTCTGGCACACTGGCTTCAAAAACGACAGCGGTTGATGAAAATTATTTCATTGCTAAACATATACAAGGCAGCTTGAAGCAAATGTATACATTTCAGCTTATTACATTATTTGCGCAATATGGTTATGTCCAGTTGTATGTGTGTGGCAATTTAATAGAGAGCTCACAGAGTGATGAAATAACTAGACGGGAGAGCTGAATTAAAATGAGCCACTGGGTAAATTGCCAATCTTTTTTTCTCAAACAGTACATTTCACAAGTGGTCATTCAAGGATTTATGTTCGAGAGGCAGACGTGCAATCGTCTCTCGTTAATCCAGACGCTCCATGCCAACTCTGTATGTATTGAATAACCACATAGTGAGGCCAATCAGTCTTACCTGGTGGATATCGCTCAATAACCGGATTGCTGTCCACCTGGACGGTGGCATTGCCTCCGCTGCGTGTGAAGCGCACTACATGGTACTTGCCGTCATTTACAATGACAGCAGGCTCATCGATGGTGATGTCATCTGTCCCCACGTTGAAGATGACACCAATCTTTCCTTCATCCTGCAGGTAAAAAACAAAGAATGACACGTATTTCACATTTATATTCACTCCAAACGTGCAGCCTATAGAGTTTCCGTCGGTTTCAGGGTTGCGGAGAGACCTTGTTTAAAAGCGTATCTTTTGTGACATGGACAGTATGTTTAGTTCTCTCTTCAGGGTTCAGTATCGTTCCCCCTCAGCGGGCAGCTCAGGTTTCCTGATGTGGATCTCTCCTGACAGAATCCTTCTGCTTCTCTTTTGGTTGACCAACTTTTCCTCCTGCAGCGTCTCCCTGCTCCTGCCATCCTTCTTTAAAGATCAGAGCTGCTTCTCAAGCAAGCCTTTGGGTGGCACTTACAAGAAACGTGATAAAAACTGCATGTGGGGGTGTCAGTGCCTGTCTGAACTTTGTTCATCAGCCGCCTTGCAGTGTTTCTAAAATGCAACACGAGGTCAAAGTGCTAAATGTGTGGAGACATGTGTGTGTGAGCAACACAGAGATCACAGAGGAGCACACACACTCTGCTCACTAAGCTGTGCAATATGGCCTGAACTGTTGTTGTTCATATCCTGATAACAATATATATCAGAACATATAGCATGTTTTCATGTAATTGAACAACTAGTCCATATGAAATAACTACATATTAATGCCTATTGTTGTTCATTCTTGTTTGATTTAAATTATTGTTATACCATATTTCCAGCTATACAATGACTATTAAGATATCAGTTTGATTTAAGCAGAACAATTGGGTGTAGGCACGCAGCTAAAAAAATAAAGCTTAACGTTTAAATTATGAAAACCCTGCAAATCCTCTTCAAAGTTGAAATAATAACCATAACAATGCAGATAGAAACCTGTCCTGCTTGCTATTATCAATTAAGAAATCATAATTGTGAATCACGATATCTCAATATAGAACCTCATATGATTGTACTGCAAGGCAATAAATTAACATTTTGAATTATCACCGAGCCATCTACAAACCAGTGGACTGATATAGCCTTTGTACTACGATGAAACACACACAAAAAAAAATCCTACAATGAAGAGAGCTCATTAATCACTACAGTATGACCCGGAACATGACAGCCTGAAGGTTAAGTGTGACAATAAAAGTCGACAAACCAAATTACAATGTAATTCATTGGCACTCATAACACAAGTGATCAAGTGGTTATGCAACGAGTGCCTGTTGCACAATATGTCTTAAATGCAGGATCATGGGCACATAATTAGAAAGTCATTAAAATAACACGATATTAATAATAAGCCGTGTAGCTTCCCTGATATACTTCAGCTGTTTAGTTTCAAGGGCCAAGAGTGTGCAGGTTTGATTTAAACAGCCTCTCCTCCCACAGCTGGTTGCACTATATCACAACTTCAACAAGAGAGGCGAGAAGAAGTAAACACAGAAATTGGATGTTTATTGAAATGAAATACTGCATACTGAGGGGCCTGCATGGCACAGGGTGGAGACAATATTTACAGCCCATATGGATATTAAAAATCTCCCACACATTTATAATAATATGACAGATATTTCCTTTCTCTCTGGATTTTAATACTGCATTACTCATTGAAAGACCGAAACATTTATTTCTGTAATGTTGGCTGCTATTGTGTGAAGTAAAACCTGTCTCGGAGCTTTTCTCTCAACTGCTAATTATATGCAAAATCCTTCCGGAAACCTTTTCAATTTGAAATAATTATTCATGCTGACAAAGTTGGTGTGAGGCACAGAAGTCTGAAGAGACCTTGAACCTCCTATTAGTAATGTCACTTCAATCTTGAGAAATGTTCAGCTTATTTCACATTAAGGAGCTCTATCTCTAAATAAAGTCCTTCATTTTGGAGGTCAGTAACAGGTCGATGGCTCTTTCAATTGTCTTCCTGTCATCACTTGAAGGTTGTTAGGAACCAAGAAGGAAGCAAATGTGTTCCTGATGTATGACTCATCAACTACAGCTGGATAATCTAACTCACGCAAGTCAAAAGGAAAATGAAACCCCTTCATGACAAATGTCTGCCCACTCACAGTTACTCACATTGACACTGTGAGCTAATTACAGTCAGCTTTAGTGAGAATCAGCAGGGTCACAAGTCGTATTTTATCATAAAAAATGTATGGTGAAAAAACAGACTATAACCTTTTCTTACTTTATAATCCCTATATCATCTGTAAGACATCTCTCTTGTATTCCTGTCTTACTTACATCTTCCGCATGCTGTACTGTAACTGAGGTTTAATCACTCTTCCCAAGAAGCAAACTGATGAGTATTCATTATGAAACTTCAGTGTAGTGCAGTCTCAGGTCGAATTTAGTGCATGTCCTCTGGACCACATTAACATCTCCAGGGTCCAAACCCTCTTTAACAAAGGAGATGCTTCTATTGTGCTTACTTTGCAGCACGATCACAAAACAGCCCCAAAGCACCTTCTGACAGCTGGCAAAGCATCACTGCTGCAGCCCACTTTTGATAAACAAAAGTTTGGCCTTTCCAGGTCACTTTTTTTCTTAATGCCCATGTGTTTGGGTATCAAGCTAGACAGGCATATATACTCATGAAAAGCCACGCAGTGTCCCACCTAGCTGTTTGGACAGCAGCTCTGACAGAAAAAAACATTTCTTGGAGTATTGTCTGTTTCCATCGGAGCTTCAGAGCGCTCATTCATTTTAGAGGAAAGGAAGGATTTATTGTTATACCCATGGGCGTAGGAAGCATCCTGAATGTGGGGGGGACATTTTTAACGGGGGTGTGGGGGCGAAAAAAAAAATAGATTTCCTGTATTCTGGTGCATTTTAACAGGTGGTTTGATACTTTTATGTGGCTATACTAGCATGAGGAAAATGATGGGTACATTTTGTAATTTCATCCAGTAGTAAAGAAAGGAAACATATTTGATTATTAATTCAGAGCTGTCTTTGAATTAATAAAAAGCAGTTTAAATGCCCATTTTTTGTACATTTATATACAACAATAAATATTTGTGAGTGCATTGAGAGATATTGTTGTGGAGAGTCATTTATATATAAATCGCAAAATACATTTGTGAATCCTTCTGTGAGCATTTATTAATATTGAGACTGATCTGACTCCATACGGATGTTAAGTTCACCTAGGAATGGTATCATTGACTTAAATGTTCAAATAAATGTTGCTCTTCTGTCTATATTGGTCATATGATGCCCCTTGACTGAAATGTTTCCTGTTCAAGATCCCCACTGATTTCCTTAAAATCCTGGGATGAGAGTCCACATCACAATTTACTCTCAACTGTCATTTCCCTTTCATCACTCACCTCAGCAATGGACCTCTCTCCACTGTCCCTGTATTCTGCCTCTGACTCACTCTCAAGTGCCTAGATGTCAAGAGAGGTGGTGAAGTGATAATAAATACTGATAAATACTAGTAACCTGGCATTTCGATGCCTTTTCTCATCTAAACTATTCAGTATTTGTATCTCTCTATCATGACATAAAGACGAAACTCCTCTCCAGAAGTGAGACACCGCCATCACTGTTAACTGATTAACTGCTACCAGCTGATGACTTACTTTCCTCTTCTTTGAAAAAAATGTTCTTATGTCCATCTTGTCTGGGGGAGAAAACATATCAAACCAAGAGATCGTCAGCTTTGATTTTCGCTGTATTAACCATTTCCTGAACATTTGGTGTGTGTGCCTTACCTCCGCTACCGGCATCGCTTCATACAACAGATCTGAGCTGTCCAACTATGACATCACTCCTTGAACATGCGCGCGCTATGTGAGAATCTGCCTTGGTACAAAGTAGCAGTGAAAACATGGAACGGAGTTTCATTGATTTGGGCATTCTCTCAATAAGCAAGTGGAATGGATTTCATTTGATAGTGAAGCACTGACACAGCGCTCGACAAAGTGCAGCGAGTGGATAGACCGATTCACGGACTTTCCGCATAGTAAAAGTGGGGGGGTCTAAACTAATCATTTGAAAAAGTGGGGGGGACTTGTCCCACCCTCATATAATGGCTGCGACGCCCATGGTTATACCTATTAACTAGTTTCTTAAAAGCACACATTTGATGAGTTATGTCTTTTTATTAGTCCCTAAATAGAACTTTGCAATGCCTTGTTCCGCATGATTATATTGAACAACTACAAGGCCATTATGAAAGGCTTTCCTCAAGAATGTTCAAATTACTTGAGTATTAATAGTAAGGTTGTTCAATATTAATTATGTTCTTTGTATGATTTGCTCAGTGGGGGAGTTATGAGTTGGTAGAACCAAATCAACAGCAGATTATATTTTCTCAGTTATTACATTTGTTCAAGGTGTAACCAATCACTGAAGATTTCAGTTTGTGTGTGTTTGGAAAAGGAAACATCTTTGGAATAGGGGGCCTGTGTAAATTATGTCAAACAAGTGAATTAGTTATGAGCAAGATCTAACTTTTTAATGGGAAACATATTCTTAGCTACAAAGAGTTATTTTATTAGTGCTTTATAATGAATAGCCAAAATGCTATATGCATGCTAATAGGCAACTAGTTAACAGTGAATGTGTCCCTTAATATACTTACATTTTTCAATGAGATGTTAAAGAGAAAGCACTATATGGCATATACATTTCTTCTATGATGGGTTACATTTTTAAAACCTAGCACAGAGTGGAAAGATCATGATTCTTGAAATAAGACAAGCTTTCTATCTCAGAGTGTTAGCAGCCAACTCTCATTCTCTGCATATGACATGTTAACTCGTCTCTTTACTATACAGGAGCCTTTTCCTTAGAAGCACATAGGGAGCTTGCATATAAAATGGTGGCACCGTAATTAAGGATATTATCGTTCCTACTCCCATATAATAAAGGACTATTCATCACACTCAGCATAGCATAACATAAAAGGAAATACAGATTATTGTGAAGCGCTTTTTAATCCTGAGCGGGGAAACAAGTGCCTATTTTAGATTACTGAATGGAAATGACAGATCGTTATAAATAGTGAAACAAAACTTCAAACTGCTCCATGTAATATAGTGCGCGTTGTTTTCTAATTCCTTTGAACAGTTGTACATTTCCCAAACGATCAAAGCCCCATATTTTCTCTGAAATGAGTTCTATCTGAAAAAACTTATGACTGTAAAATATATTTCAGCTGGTGGAAAAGCTGCCATCAAAAAAAGCAACTTTCTTTTATAGTTATACTATTTAGTAAGCCCAGCACACAGTCTTGTGGCTGAATTATGTATCATACATTTAAAGTGAGGAATCCAAATGTTTGGGAATACCTACAGAAAGCAGGTTGAGCTCTGCCCTCCTGAAATATATATTATAGCATATTCATTGCTCTTTGATCAAGCATTTTCATTCTAACATAGTACGGAAAATGTATTAGGAAAGGGGCCTTATTAAGCTCATTTTCAGGTTGATATTTGTGTTTTGTGTCTCTACTGTGATATGCTTACATGCTTTAGTGTTCAAAAAGCTCTTTATTTATCTCATACTGCCTGTGCTGCAGCACCTCTTTTCACCCTCTGTCTGAAACCAGAGCCCAGTCTGCTCTGATTGGTTAGCTGGCCGGCTCTGTTGTGATTGATAAACACGCTACAGTTAAGGAAAATCCCCAAAAGCGTAATAGGGCCCCTTTAATTCCACGTCAGTCTGTGTAACTTCATCTACTGTAGTTTGAAGCTCTGCTGCGTAACGTTGCTTTGTCTAGTTGTCATCATTTTGCACAACGAATCCTCTGTTTCTGATTCAGATTTTTTAGCTACTCATTACAAACAGGACCAATTGCATCTCTTTTGTTCACTCTGGTGAATGTGGTTTGTTTTTTATGCACAGAGCAATTGGTCTTCAAAGCCATTCACGCAGTTACAATGTCAATTAACCATGTGACTATTTTCACGCAGCAATCTTCTGTTCACATAAGTGACGCTTGTTCCTTTTGCTGTTTCGATGACGCATTATAAGCACTGAAAATCAGGTGCTATTTGCATCAGTAAAGGCGACATCATTTCCTAAACGATCTCTCTGGTGCAAGACTAATGTGACGTTTCATCTCACTCGCTGTAATAGTCAAATAGTCAGCTCTACTCAACTTGAATAATTTAACGCCTTCCATACAATAATGCAGGCTAAAGTGCTTCACAGAGCAAGATTTAAAGAGTACAGATAAAAATAAAAAAGAACAATAAAATGTCTCACCATCCAGAGCATTTTGAACAAAGTGTGCTCGGATTATTACCAGGCGTTGTTCTGAAGCCTTCATTGCATGGTGGTTTAGAACATAAAGATTGATATCTAAGGTATACTGCATATTTATTCAAGAAATGAATTATGTTCTCAGGCACCACATCTGAGAGACCTAAACCCCTGTAGCACATAAAACTCATTTATCATTTGCTTCTTTTACTATTTTCAAATCTCCCCTGTGGGCCGGCGTTAATTTGACCGGAGTACATCTTCTCTCCGTCTTCACCTAGTTTCCACATTCTCGCTCTTCTTCAATAGACAAGCAGAGGGAGGGAACAGACTGATAACATGTAGAATTTAAATCCTGAAGAAGAAGGACAAGGAATGGCAACCCGGGTCTGTACGAAACCAGACCGCGTGATTTGATGAAGCTCAGTTAGAGAAACCGAAAAAGACAACCTCCACAACCTCTGAACTCTGTTGATTGCCCTCCGCTGAGCAGTGATAGGGTGTCAGGGTAAGCAATCTGTCAGGGTGCAAAGACTTGGCAGATGCTGGATACAAAAAAAAACACGTTTCAGCTAGCTCTGCACGCAGGAAGAAGTCGTTGCATTTACTTGCAACATTTCAAAGCTGGCAAGGTCAGTTTTACAGTTTTTAAAACAGGAAATCCAATTTAGATGAGACAGTTTGAAAAACCCCCAAGGCAAGATATTTGTACCAAACATGTGTAGTATCTGGAAAGTGCAGAAACCAGCCTCTCCATATTATACTACCTTAGCGTCTCTATGTGGAAGGCCACTTTCTAATAGCAAACTGAATTAACTGAATATTAGTTTGAATCAAAATATGTACTCGATTGTATTTAAGCCAGTGTAAAGATGATTAAGATGTCTCCTTTTACTGGAATTGATTGATTATGGAAGCCGGTTTCCATTTTCTGTTATATCATGTTTTATTTGTAATACCTTAAATGTGCTAAGTAGATTTGCCACTCTTTTCCACCTTTAAGAACACTTCAGTGCAGTTTGGAAATAATCTATGAATAGTATCTGCTTCTGTTATACAGTAAGGTTATTATGAAGCTTTCTCTGGGTGGTCTGATAATGAGGGCCCAACTCCAGTGGTTGCGTCCCGTGCTTTGACAACAGGTGTGATTTTAATTATTACACCACACGCAGACGTTTGACAGATCTCCCCGCTGGTCTTCATCACTGCACATCTGTCCCGTGGCTACATGCTAAAAAGGCTGATTTCCCTCTAGAAAACCCTCAGTTGCCGCAAGCTGCTGATGAGTCACTTGCTTTCACCAAAAGACACACATGTCTTTCACCAAAAGACATCTCTTTGTCTACTGACTCACTCTATTGTGTTTCTATCTGGTGGTACAATAGTCATTTATTTGTTCAATTTCTTCTCAATGCTTGCACTCCATTAATCAGCTATCAGAACATGTTTAAGCATTAGCAAACACTGTGCTGATCCTTCAAGTTACAACATTAATTTAAAAACAGAGATTTATTTATTCTCATAATACACATAATCAAGATGAAGCATCAGCACTCTCCCAGGCAGACTTTTATCAACACATCTAGGGGGAGATTATGATGTTTTCCTCATTTTGGGTATCGAAAAACGGCTTCTGAGCCATCATTTTTTAGCTCTTTTTCAATGTTAGTCACTAGCTGTTTACTTTCAAACTTGGGAATACATTACTCATTGTTGTTGCTCAGACATTATTTAGTTATTTTGTGTTTGGAGAGTGGACTAGTTTCCATAGTTCGACTCAGCTGCCCACTTCACATTGTCCTGATTCCCCTGAGATCTAAGGAGTTTGAGTTTCTTTTTTAATCATTAATATAGATGATGTTTTGTTTGTTGGGCATTCACAGATGTACCCAACAAATTAAAAATAGCACAAAAGGAAGGAACTTAAGTGCTATTACGGGTTTTGGGGCCTCTCAAATATTTATAATATTTTTTGTGAATTGGATGCAGCTTGTATGAGTCTATTGTCTTGTTTATAAATTTGATATAAACTCAAATACAGCAACACATATCAGACAATCTCTCTGTCAAATCATTTCCATCTACCTACATTTGGAAATGTAAGTAGCTTCCTGGTTTTCTAGATTTGTATAACAGAAAAGGAAAGTGCACAATATTTCTTATCTTATTCTTGTATTTTAGAGAGATAGAAAGAAGAGAAATGTTTGCTTCAAGCCCCACACTCTGCTTCCCAGACTTACTATGTGCAGCTGAAGATAGTCTCCGAGCCCATGGGTGCTCTCCACTCGCACCAAGATGGCGTCCTTCTGCTGAGTGCTGAAGCCCACGGCTAACCGGTCGGCTCGGGTGCTCGGCCGCTCATTGGGGGCCCAGGTGAAAGTGATGAGAGCCCCCCCTTTCCCAAAAATGTACGTGGTCCCAGCTGGAGAAAAAGACAGAAAAAGAAGAGTGATTTGTTATATATTTTTATTTCTTAAAGTATCGTGCCTTGTATAAAGATGAGATTCAGATTCTCCCCCCCCCTTTTCAACCCACTGCTCTGACACCAACGCTCATTTTTCAAAATCACGCAGCAGGCAGAGAAAAACCGGGAAGGATGATTTATTAAAGAGGTCGGCTTTGCTCTTAAATCACAGTAAAGTAGCCCAATTTACAAAGTATGATGAAGCTTAACATTCACAGATGAAAACAAATGACCACAGTTTTTATCATGATCCCACATGGCTCTCACTGCAAACACTGAGGATAAAGCTTCGCCTGGCAATGATTTCACAGACAAATAGTAGATATTTCAGGATGTAGGTTTAGATGGATTAAAGTTTAGTTTATGTGTGTTATTGTATTTAGGTTGGGTTGTATGTTCATGCTTATCTAGGATAATACACATGGAACCATTTGAATCATGATTTTAAGGAAAACTTGTATTTTTTATTTATTTAAAAAAGGTCACTGAACCACAGAATACACAAAGGTTAATAAACCTTATTTCAATCATAAAAAGTGTTAGGGAATAATTTGCTTAGGTATTCAACCTTCGACCCAGTTCATCATTTTCTCCTCTCACTGTCTCCTTTCCCACGGCATAGGTCTACGGCCTTGGGTATTGCTGCTATCTCTCTTAAGGAGTAGCAGCTTGGGCGCATTGTTGATGCCAGTCTATGACAGAGCACAAGCCGCCATGAGGTAGTTTACTGTTCAGGGACGAAGGTTCCCTGGCGCACATTCTTTCCTATGGACGAGAGCTCTAGTTAGATTCAGGGTCCATATTGCTTTAGTCTCACTGATAAAGAATGTAGATTATTACACTCCGAACTAGTTAAAACATCGAGCTGCAGAAAAGTTCTTCAGAATTTGGCAACCGCTGTGTCAACTCGTGACACACCTCAATATAAAATGTGAAAAGCTCCAACAGCCGTCACATTTTGATTTAAATCTGATTTAAATTCATCCACCTGCTCATACAGTGTCAAGCAGGTTTATGGAAAAGCGATAGTGTCTGCTTTGACTTTTATAATGAAAGCTATTCATCTGCACCCAGAAAGATTTCTGTGTCCTCGAGATAAAAAGGCATTCTGGTGTTAATCTTGAATTCACAAGTCTTGCTGGAATCGCTGAGATCCCTTAAAAAAAAGGTGCTTAAATCCATTTTCTGATCGGCACGTAAACGAGACACCTTTTTCTTATAATGTGATACGATTTATTCCTATCCCCTCAGTCACGTCAGAGTGCATGAATTAGCATTACATTACATTTGAATTAGCATTACATTACATTTGAATTAGCGGAATTATTTCATTTGGGTGAGAGCAGCAAAATCAGAGCTATTATCCATTTTATACGGTGCATGCAAGTTGAAGTCAGGTCAAAACTAAGTTTGTTTTCTGATGGGATGAGTGTTCTTTTAGAGGAGTACTGCGGGTGTTATAGACTGCAAAGAGAGGCAAACTGCTGTCCTCAATAAACGCATCGCCATTATGTTACAGGAGAAACAATTCTCTTTAGTAGTGCACTGCACATTTGGGTCATTCTGGGTTTGTTTTAACACCTGAAGCCTGAGTGTTGTTGTTACCACTGATTTTTTCTCAACATCCGAATCTCTTAAGTGGAGTGCAGAAAAACACTTGAGGGAAAATTGTCATGAAAACTTGAGTACTCTTTGAAACGGTTTAACGGCCACTCAGCACATGGGTTTGTTATTGACGGGATCTAACTGCTTAGCTGGATGCTTCCTCAATGTCCAACACTTCAGACTTACTTTGACTTTAATTAAAATAAAAGTCTTTGAGTCAAACCAAAGTATTTCTTACTGAAGTAATCTTAATTCACGCCGGGGATTGGCAGTTAATTCTGAGTCAGTGACAGTAGTTACATCAAAGAGTCTTAATGAGTGGTTGTATTAGTTTCTTCCTTTCAGTGAATGTTGTCTGCATCTGGCATTTTATTAGTTTGCCCTCATTTCTGCTCCTTGTGTTCAGTTTCTCTGTTTGAGAGTATAGACCTTTTTGCTTTTAACACCAATGTGCTATGGATGTTTGGACACAAGATCACAGACCAATGCACATCCTATTCATTCTAATAAAACAGCCCTGCATACAATAATACTACCTGTGTGATAATGTATAAATTGTAGCTCTCAAATATCACACAATCTCAACCAAAAAAGACAACATTAAGCTTCACACAGGCTATAATACCACATTTCATTACACCGTACAACCCTTAATGATTTCTAGTCTTTTTCTTGTGAAACAAACAAAAAAAGCAGGCGAGCCATAATGTGGTCAATCTTCTTATTATGAGACCCAATTTCGCACTTGGTCTCATTTCAAATTTCACTGTGCAATAAAGCTTTCAACACAAATTTAAATAGTACACTCAGGAGACTCAATCCTCATGAACTTTATATACTCAATTTCGGATATGTGAAACCAGGCCTGCTTGATCATTACACACGTTGCATTCTTCAACATTGAGAAGGAAAATGATCTCTATTAGAAAAAGAGGACAATTTCAGCCGTAGCTTCACGTCAGCCTTTGAAAAGTATTGAACAAAAAAAACCCACACTAGAAAATCATGAAGACATGTGCAACGTTATTTTAGAAAAATGTAATTCTCAAGTGAACATTTAAGATTAAATTAAGACACAAATTAATGTCGAATCAGAGATATCTAATCACAACTTGATTTTACAATTGATAATGTGTTTTTGCATGAGATACACTGAAAAAACTGAAACGTTGACTTTAATTAAATGGCTTATGTATTATTACAACTAACCTAATACAGGTATGTGAAATATGTTGACATACATTTAATTAAAGTCAACATTTCAGTTTTCTCAGTGTAGACATTAACTATTTGATAGCGTTCATTTGATCAAAACAGTTGTATGATTATAGAGGAGAGTTTTTTTCGAGGATTAAAATACTGTTCATTGTGCAAAATAACAACCTCTAAAAGGTGGCTATAATTGTATACAATTACAAATACAAATATTATGAGATGTTCCTATTTTATGACAACGCCAACACATCAGCTTTATGCTACCTTTTATTTTTTTTATTAACCAATCCACCATTACAGGTTTGGATTTTACATTTTCAGGGAATTCGTAAATCAGATGTTATTGTTTTTTAATTGCCTTTATTTAAACAGGCTATTAAAACCAATCTCTGGTTTGCAATGAGTTCTTGATTAATACATAACACAGCCTAAATTCACATATAGGCTACTATAGTATATGTCTTGGTTTGCACATGTGAACACATTAATTACACATATTAATATTTCACAACACTGTTAGAAACTAAAATAACGTCTTCTTTCGATGTGAAGGAAACACCTCACAACAAACAGCTCCTGAAGATGAGAGCTGGAGTGTTCTGAGCGTTGCCGTGAGAACATGAGCAGGCAAAGACAAAGTGAAAGGGTGAATAAAAGGTAACACGCACCCTTGTAATGTGCATCATGAAATATGGAGTGCTAATGCACCTGCAGTAGCATCTGTCTATAGACGGCAGTAGCTCCTGCATTAGTCATAAGGCTGAAGCATTTCATTACACCTCTCTGCCTTTCCTCTTCCACATCATGCTATCTGCTCTCCGTGGCAGACCTGCATCAAATAAAGCAGGCGGTAAATCAGTCTTGTTAAGATTATGACTATAAACATCACAGTCCTCTCCCTTGCAGCAGCTCTCCTCTCTCTTTCTCTCATGGGAGCGTTCTGCTCATCTCTCATGGCCGTACAATGCATCTGTGCTCCAATAACAGCGCTCCTTGGAGACTCTCCACTGCGATGTGTGCTGTATATCACATCATCATTAGTTAGGAGCCTCGGTAGTTAATTATACTGTGTGCAGGCATTGTTATACCCTTGATGCCTACCATATTATTCATGAATATTACATAGGCGGCACGATAACATATTCACTGTAAAAATGTAATTCGAGGCATATTAAAAGCCCTCTTTGTTGGTTAAATACATTACAGAGGTCAGCAGTATCAGAGGGCTGCTTTTTACAGGTGCTGCCATGGTGTAAGTGAGAAGGAGAAATTCTATAAAGCAGCCATGATTGGTTGTCGTCGTGTCTTAATAGGTTTTTACACAACAAATGCAACAGTATAGATTCTTTGTTTGTGCCAAGACTCATGCTACCCACACAAACATCCTGTCCTTTTCATTCGCGCTCTCAGCCAGCTGAATACACGACAAATGAGGCATCGTGCTCATAGGACTTGCAAAATACACCGAGACGCTGGGGATAATTTGCATTAAAAGAGCTCCCCTGAGCTTCTTGTTGTAGAAATTTGGACAATTCTTCAGGCATTAGCCAGTGAGAGAGTATTAGCTCTAATAACATTAGTCATCACGACTTTTATGAGCCTGAAAAACAGTCATGACTCATGATGGCAACTACTATCAGATGTAACATAGCTAATGGAACAAACTGTAAATTATACATACTCATAAATAAATATTTATCACATTCTTAGTGATTGCGAACCCTGCAAATAGAGTTTAAATTCATACTTGAGTGCTCAGGTTTCTGAATGGCTTCAGTAGGGTAAGTTAGTGCAGCTCAGTACACAGTATGCTCCGGAGGCATTAGGCAAAGACAGTTCAACAAGAGCACTTTACTGGAAAAACAAAACTGATTGATTAAGATTATGAACTAATATAAATCTCTATACTGTGAGCAGTTCTGCAGAAATGGAGAGTTATGGAGAGATATTACCTTTGAATTTATCGTCTGACTTATGGCATCTGAGGCCCACTTCTTCCATGGTCTATTAAATAGGGCTCAGTGAAATGATGAAAATGAATGGTGCAGCATAAAGCCTGACAGAAAGGACTTACGATCTTTAAGTTGTTGAAATTAGAAAGTGGAATCACATACAGCGAAAACAGAGTTCACCTGAAT